GCCCGGGTGGTCTAGTGGTATGATTCTCGCTTAGGGATACAAACCCAAGCATATCTGCGAGAGGTCCCGCGTTCGATCCGCGGCTCGGGCCTTGTACCTTCCTTTTTTTTTTTTTTTGTTCTGCTCCCGCCTACACACAACTAGTTGTCTCTCCCAAGCAAGGAGACAAGAAGCGCGCGAGAGAAACAAACAGTCTTGATCATCAAGGAGGCAGGCAGCAAAACACTGTGCTGCTGCTGTATTCTGTCACCTAGGTGAAGTCAAGATTTTGTCTCTTTCTAGCTCATTAACCCGATCCCTCAGCAGGAATCTATCATCAGCTCAGACACCCTTTCACTCAAACCCGTTGGGCTCGCACTCTCCTGCTGCATCCCTTCCCCACAGACTCCATCTACAATGTAACACAGCCTGACCTAATCAGCATATGAATCTGACACAAGACGTGAGGGTTCGAACTCAATACAATGCGTTGTCAGTCACCGACCCACCATCCCCGCAGTGAACTATGATAGCTATCTATCATTCGGGTTCATCCCCCGAGCCCGGCATATCGCGCCGTGCTTTTCTTCCACCGGCGGAGATACGCTCCGCTGATTGATTGACTCATCACCAATCTCAATTTTCACATTCCAAAATCGAACATTCATCAATCACACAAGAATCGGGAGTTACACTCACAACCACAAACATCCACACTGAAACCAAAGATGACCGTACAATCGCATTCCCCCGACGGGGGAGAGAAAACCCTCGCATTTATCGGATGTGGTATGTTTTCACCACCAGCACCAACACTACAATCCAACAACCATCAACATCCCCAAATATTTACAACCTACTGACGGAGAATAAAGGCAACATGGGCTCCGCCATTCTGAGCGGTCTACTGGACGCAACGCGCACCCAAGCGGGAAAAATCAACCACTTCATCATAAGCACCAAGACCGCCGCATCCGCGGAACGTCTCCGCACCCAATATGCAGAGGATGCGTCCCGCGTGACCATCGCACACGACTCCAACCTCCGCGCGATGCGCGAAGCAGACATCATCCTACTCGCCTGCAAGCCCTTTCTAGCGAAAGGTATTCTCTCCGCTCCGGGTGTCGGGGAAGCGTTGTCCGGAAAGCTAGTGATTAGTATCATGGCGGGGATGACGCCCACTGACATACTTGACTGTATGAGCGACGGTGACCGCGAAAACGTCAAGATCGTTCGGGCAATGCCGAATGTCGCGGCAAGGTTGCGCCAGTCTATGACTATTGTTGAGCTTCCGGAGAGGAAGCCGCTGGAGGAGGAGTTGGTGGAAATAGTGACGTGGGTGTTTGAGGTGATTGGGAAGGTTAAACTTCTAAGTGCGGATCTGTTTGATGTTGGGACGATGTTAGTAGGCGCGGGAATAGGGGTTCTGACGGTGCCTTTGGAGGGATTATTGGATGGGTGTGTGGTGGAGGGGTTGAGGAGGGCGGAGGCGCTGGAAATGGCGGCTCAGACGTTGTCCGGGATGGCGGCGTTGTTGAAGGAGGGGTCGCACCCTGCGGTTTTGAGGGAGAATATATCCTCCCCAAGGGGTTGTACCATCCAGGGAGTGATGACGGTGGAAAGAGCTGGGGCCAGAGCGACATTTGCAGACGCGGTGATTAACGGCACGAGGCATCTGAAGGGGGATCGATAGATGTACTATTTTCGGGGTATGATTCCGAATAGATTAGATCGAAAGATAGAGAGCGATAGATAGATAGAACACTGATAGAACCCAATTATTTCCATTGACATATTATCCTCGATAAGAACGCACAGCAGCCATTGGTCCATACCAAATGCCCTCCTTCCATATACCAGTTCCATCATCCTGCAGCGGTAACCTTAACCGAATAGTACCGGAAACACCCACCGAATGCAATCCATCATCCATCACCACCACCAACTACAACGTCACTAAATCCATGCAGACACAACCCCCTCGCGTAGAGTCAAGCCAATCGGTCAAAATACCGCCCTGCCGCGATCTACAACCACATACTCTGCGCTGGCATCCCTACCCCTCACTACTACTATCTGACAGAGATATAACGAGGGATAAATAAGTAGACAGGGGGATACCATAAACCCTGAACGTAGAATGAAAGAATACACTTATCCAGTCCATCCTTTGAAATGAGATCAAAAGTATTACTCTGGCCAAAACGGCCTACCACTTCCCCCCTTCTCTACTACCAACTCCTCCACCCACCAACCTACCACCATGCCTACAACACCTCAACACCAACACCATCACCAACATCAACTACAACAACCCACCACACCCTCCCACCCCCCAAACCCCCCACCCCAACCCCCCTATCCGCCCTCCCAACCCGAACCTTCCTCCGCTCCCTCCTCTTCACCTCCGTGATGGCCTCCCCGCTTCTCAAGCCCTGTCTCTCCGTGCTAAAGTACATGGTCGACTCGAACTCCCTCCTCTTCAGCCCGGCCAAGAACCCCATCGTGAATTATCTGCTGCGTAGGACTATCTACGATCATTTCTGCGCGGGGGTAAATGAGAGAGAAGTCCGGCATACGGTGCAGGAGATGAAAGGGCTCGGGTTCAAGGGTGTGATTCTGGGGTATGCGAGGGAGTCGATTGCTAAGGTCGAGGACGTGGATTCTATTCAGTCTGCTGAGGAGAAGATGGAGGTTTTGGATCGGGCCGTGGAGGAGTGGAGGGTTGGTACGCTACGGACGTTGAGGATGTGTGGGAGGGGGGATTATTTGGCTGTTAAGTATGATATCTCTTTCTCTCTCTCTCTTTCGGTACTTATGATTGAATTGGGGGAGGGGGGTGATAGGTTTGGGCTAATGGTGCGTTAGGTTTACTGGTGCTGGTCCTGCCGCTGTGGAGGCACTCTCGCGCGGTGGTCGTGTTCCGCCGAAGCGGATTCAGGAGGCCATGATGGAGATTTGTGATGCTGTTGCGGCGCAGGGATCGCGGGTGTGGATTGATGCTGAGCAGCAGATTTTCCAGTCGGCGATTGATGCCTGGGCGGTCGATTTGATGAGGAAGTATAACCGGGTGGAGAGGGCGGATGCGCCGGTGGTTTTGAACACCTATCAGGCATATTTGAAGTCTTCTACAGCTAGGCTTAATGAGCATTTACGGCTTGCGCAGAAAGAGGGCTGGGCTATGGGTGTTAAGCTGGTTAGGGGAGCGTATATCGCTCATGATCATCGGGACCGGATTCATGATACCAAGGCCGATACGGACAGGAACTATGATCATATTGTGGAGAGTCTGATTACGAGACAGTATCCGCTGGGAGGAGAGCCCGGACAGCCGTTCCCTAAGGTGCGTCTGTTTGTGGCGTCGCATAACGGGGTAAGTGTGCGGAAGGCGTGTGCGTTGTATCGGCAGCGGGCGCTGAGTGGGTTGCCTTTGATTCCGGTGGAGGTTGGTCAGTTGCAGGGAATGGCGGATGAAGTGAGTCTGGGGATGGTAGGGGGATCGACGGATGGGGCAGCTCCGGGGGTGTTCAAGTGTTTGGCGTGGGGTTCGACGGAGGAGTGTCTGCATTTCTTGTTGCGGAGGGCTGTTGAGAATCAGTCGGCGATGGAACGGACGAGAGATACGGCGCGGGCGCTGAGGGGAGAGGCGTGGAGGAGATTGGGTGGGGGAGCTGTGATGTAAACACATGCCTTTCGGCTTTCAGTTCAATGTGAATATGATTCGATGATTATCGATCTAGAGATAACCGGTTGTATGTATACCTTTCGGCTCGGAACCCGACCTCGGAGGACGTTCCGGAGTCTGGATTCTCTTTAGCATGAGTATTCCTCTCCTTGAAGGAACCATAAATGATCCCTGTTGGGCTCCCGTACCTTAGCGGTATGCATCTGTCCTTATCAACTAAGGATCGCCTAGACGCTGAGCTAGAGGATCGGCCCCCGTCTACTTCGTAGGATCTCCATGGCCTCTGCGTAATCGGCATCCTCATCCTCTAGCACAGCTTCCTTCTCACATCCCTCCAGTATCTCTAGCACGTAGTCCTGGCAGTCCCATTCGAGGGTCTCGTTGTCCACAGGCGTGGCGTCCACAACGTCCTTCACGGTCGGGATATCGGGGCTGCCAATCTGACATACAAAGATTGACTCGATGAAACCCATGTTATCGGAAGGAAGCCCATTGGACACCACCTTTTGGAAAGTGGGATGCTCTCCATCGACTTCGAAGATGAGGTCTTCGGTGTTTGAGTGGAGATGGAGGGCCCAGTGCTGAAAGTTGCCGTAGCGGGGGTGGTAGATGGCCACGGCGAGGTATGGGGGTTTCATGACCGGTGAGGTTGATGACCGGGAGTGAATATGTACTGTAACTTTGAAGGTATTATGAGTATGTTTGGATCAAGGGATGAAGTGTCATTTCCTGTTGTTGTGGTGATCATCTCCTACTGTCAGTAAGGAAGATGGAGAGGGGAGGCATAACATGCCTGAGGCAGTGAGGCATCAAGGCACCGTAGTTGTGTGGTTTGCACTGCTTGAGCCTCTTCTTCTCCTCTTTCCTCCTTCTTTCCCCTCTTCTCACTTCACTTCCTCATCATTTCCATCATCATCATCATCAAGATCATCTTCCGTCATTCAATTGCCTCCCCGCCATCCCGTGTCCATTCCTTGGTTACCTCCCTTTTGCCTTCCTTTGTTCCCCCGGCCGACCACCTCGCTACCCAATCATGGCCCACCGCAGGGGCTTGTCCGTGGCACTGGGCCCAACGCGGGATCCCCGGACTTCCGGCCTCGCACCATTCCAGGGCCTTCCGTACCCCACAAATTGACATGGTCGAGTAGGAATGACTTGCCCTGAGGACCGTGCCAGCAAGTGACGAAGGTTCTTCGGTTCGGTTCCATCATCTCCCGCGGGGTAATTCCATCACCGCTGACCCAGAACTGAAATTCCTCAAGAATTTTCTCAAGGGGCAGTGCAGTTAATCTCCTGGTGTTCGCCTGTCTCTCGTTCATTTCACCGATCGCCCTTGGCATTCCCTGTCTCGGACACGAGGTGGACCGACTACTGCAGGATAAAACTCCGATCGAATCTCGCGTCGCACTCAAATCTTATTTATATCTCCCATCCTTTTCTCCTTCCCTTCCACTTTCTGAGCGGATAAAGCAACCGCATAGCTTCACTGGGCTCCCGGCCTTTGCAAGATGCAAGTCAAGGTGTGTTTTAGAATCCTGACCCATAAAATTGTGGCTAATTCAGTGTGGTAGTTCCTGGCAACGTTGTTGCCGCTTTTGCTGCATCTTCCTGCGGCTGTGGATGGTCTGCAAGGAAAAAATGCGCGTATTTCGGCGTCTTTGAAGAGACACGCTGGTCGCGACGTGCCCCAAACAGCTCTTAACTCCACCAATGTCTATCCGACTAAATTCTCAGGCGTGACCTGGGATGAGGATCATTGGCTGCTCACCACCACCACTCCTGACCAGGGCCACTACCAGTCGCGTGGGTCTGTTGCCAACGGATACCTCGGAATCAATGTTGCCAACATTGGTCCCTTCTTCGAGCTTGACGATCCCGTCAATGGCGATGTGATCAATGGCTGGCCCCTGTACTCCCGGCGTCAGAGTTTCGCTACTATCTCCGGTTTCTGGGATAGACAAGCCCACACCAACGGCTCCAATTTCCCCTGGCTTTCGCAGTATGGTGATGACAGTGTAATCAGTGGTGTTCCGCACTGGAGTGGTCTGGTCCTTGACCTGGGTGATGACACGTACCTGGACGCTACCGTGGATAACCGCACGATTTCGAACTTTGAGTCTACCTATGACTTCAAGTCGGGCGTGCTGTCCTGGTCGTATACCTGGACCCCGCAAGGAAACAAAGGCTCTTATGCAATCACTTATCGACTCTTCGCGCACAAATTGTACGTGAACCGGGCCGTGGTGGACATGGAGATTACCCCTCTGACAAACGGCAATGCCACGGTGGTCAACGTGCTGGATGGCTATGCAGCTGTCCGCACAGACTTCGTCGCATCGGGTCAAGAGGAGGGTGCGATTTTCTCTGCTGTGCGGCCTTGGGGAGTCAACAACGTCACGGCTTACGTCTATGCGACCTTGGATGGCTCCGACGGTGTCGACTTGTCTTCGCGTAGGATCGTTACCGACAAGCCTTATGTGAGCACAAACAGCTCGTCGGTTGCACAGGCCGTCGATGTCACGTTTACTGCGAACCAGACTGTCCGCATCACCAAATTTGTGGGTGCCGCCACCACGGACTACTTCCTTCTCACACAGGAGACAGCCAAGGCTGCATGCCTGGCTGGCTTGGCCGATGGCTACGTCAAGTCGCTGCAGTCGCATGTTGGAGAATGGGCCACGATTATGCATGACAACTCTGTCGATCGCTTCACGGATCCAGCGACCGGCAGGCTACCCGAGGACAGCCACATTGTCGACTCGGCAATCATTGCTGTCACGAACACCTACTATCTGTTGCAGAACACCGCTGGAACCAATGCAATTGTGGCTGCAGCTGGAATCCCCGTGAATGTTGACAGTTGCGCGCCCGGTGGGCTTACCTCGGATTCGTACGGTGGCCAGATTTTCTGGGATGCGGATCTATGGATGCAGCCTGGTCTTGTGGCCTCTCACCCTGAGTCGGCTCAGCGGTTCACCAACTACCGTATCGCATTGCACTATCAAGCTCAGGCCAACATCGAAACTGCATTCACCGGCTCGAAGAACCAGACCTCTTTCAGCTCTTCCGCCGCGATCTATCCTTGGACCAGCGGGAGATTTGGTAACTGCACCGCAACCGGACCGTGCTGGGACTACCAGTATCATCTGAATGGCGACATCGGCTTGGCGATGATCAATCAATGGGTTGCAAGTGGCGACACGGCATGGTTCAAGAACTACCTGTTCCCGATCTATGATGCAGCAGCCACCCTCTACTCTGAACTGGTGGAGCGGAATGGCTCATCCTGGACATTGACAAACATGACTGATCCGGTAGGTAACATGCCTCTTTCACATGATTTAGCTGACCTCCGCAGGACGAGTATGCCAACAGCATCAATGCGGGCGGATTCACGATGCCCTTGATTGCCGAGACATTGCAGAATGCCAACAAGTTCCGCAAGCAGTTCGGTCTGGAGCCGAACGAGACGTGGGACGAAATCGCAGAGGACGTTCTCATTCTCCGCGAGAACGGTGTCACCTTGGAATACACGACGATGAACGGCACTGCTGTCGTTAAGCAGGCTGACATCGTCCTCAACACGTTTCCGTTGACTTATGAGTCGGACAACTACACGGCGACGAACTCGCTGACCGACTTGGACTACGTAAGTTGCAAGTACCCATGTGAGGTTCCAAGCTAACAAATACAGTATGCAAACAAGCAATCCGCAGATGGACCAGCGATGACATATGCTATCTTCGCGATCGTCGCCAGCGATGTCTCTCCGTCCGGCTGCTCTGCCTACACCTACCACCAGTACTCTTACGCCCCATATGCACGTGGTCCGTGGTACCAGCTGTCTGAGCAGATGATCGACGATGCTAGCATCAATGGCGGAACTCACCCCGCGTTCCCATTCATTACCGGCCACGGTGGTGCTAACCAGGTAGCCCTCTATGGGTACCTTGGTCTGCGTCTCCACCCTGATGACACCCTCTACATCGACCCGAATCTTCCTCCCCAGATTCCTCATATCACTTACCGGACCTTCTACTGGCATGGCTGGCCGATCTCCGCGTGGTCCAACTACACGCACACCACGATCCAGCGCGATTCATCTCTTGCACCACTGGCAAGCGCCGACCTTCTCTTCTCCAACGTTAGCATCAAGGTCCAAGTCGGCCAGTCCACCGCCTCGGCCGATGAGGCGACTATTTACTACCTTCCACTCTCCGGAGAACTGACGGTCCCCAACCGCATGATCGGGTCTGTTAACACAACTCCTGGCAACCAAGTCCAGTGTCATCCAGTCTACTCCCCGGATGCCTACGAGCCAGGCCAGTTCCCCATCTCTGCCGTGGACGGTGCTACTTCCACCAAGTGGCAGCCCTCGACGTCTAACTTGACTTCTTTGACGGTCACTTTGTCCACCACGACAGACGCGGCTGTGGAGGCAGTTTCTGGCTTCTACTTCGACTGGTCCCAGGCACCGCCCCAGAACCTGACTGTCATCTTCCACGATTCGCCCATCGGGAACCCCTCCACTGTGTTTGCTGCCGCTGGCTCGAACTCCACAGGATACCGGGTGGTTACATCGATGTCCAACATTGTGCAGTCGAAGCCGTACAACGCCATCTCTGCGGAGGAGCTGAACGTGGTCTCTATCCCCACCGCCAACACCACCACGATCACACTGGATGCGCCCGTCCAGAAAGCCCGGTACGCCACGCTCTTGATCGCAGGCAACCAGGCCAATGAGACTGCTGGTGCTACGGTGGCCGAGTGGGTCATTCTGGGACAGAACAGCACTTCCAGCTCAGCGGCTCAGGCCAAGCGGCAGATGAGTGCGCGGAGCAAGGCCACTCTGGCTCACCTCAGCTAAACAGCTTACTTGCTTCAATTACGAGACGGTCGCTTCTGTAACATAAGTATCCTTCCATATGTGGATGAGAAGTACATAATCAATTAATGCTACATAATATGAATTACGATCGATCGATCCTTGCTAGCCATAACCGGCTCACCACCCCAGTCTTCCGACCGGTCAGTGTACCAGCCACGACTAGATATTGTATGTATGCGAGCACGCTAATAGATACAAGAAGACAACCCCATCATAATATCGCTGTCGCGGAACACCACAGCAGACCATAAACAGATGCCTCTAACCTCAGAGACACCCATCCATCATCCACCCATCGCCACTCACCAGTAAAGAAAGATCAGTTACTCCTCATCCAACGCAAACCGATCCAGGAACCTAAACGTTCTCAACCCCTCCCTAACACTATCCACAAACTCGGCCCCAACCGTCTGCCCCACCACCACACCCTCTCTCTCATCATCAATCCCCGCATTCCGCAACACAGTCTCCCCACTCCCAACCGCCCCCACCGTCTTCCCGAACCGAAACGCATCCACCAGCACCTGCAACGGTCTTCCAGCCGGGTACAGGGTACTCACCGCACTAGCCGTAGAATTGCGCTGCGGCGCAGTGACCGATCCCTCCGGAAAGAGCCCCTCCGCGCCAGGCGCCACAACCACCGCATCGAACTGGATCGCGTCCGAGGCGGAATACGTCTGGTCGACTCCGTCGGTCAATCTCTCCGCGACGACTACCACGTCCACTTCATCGTCTTTCAGCTCTGTCGCGAGGTCCTGTGCGGCCGTGATTGACGAGGGGGTTTGCACGGAGGCGAGGAAGCCGACTTTGAGGTTGGAGAGTTTCTTGAGCGGCGTGCCGAAGGTGCCTACGTCGGTGGTTTTGTTGTCGTGGTAGTATGTTGGGTCTGGGGAGGGGGCGGGGATGTCGATGGCGCGGGCGACGCGTCGGGCGAGGTCGTTGGAAATGCGGTTGAGTTGGATGATGACATTTTGGCGCACCGTGGTTGATTTGACGTTGCTGGTTTCGAAGCGGATTGCGTCGATTAGGAATTGCTGTTCCGTCGGGACGAGAGAGTTGTAGAAGAGGCGGGGCTGGGACCACACGTCTTGGAAGGTAGGGGACGTGCTGCGTAGGAGGTGGCCTGAGGTGGTGCGGCCTGGGGAGGTAAAGAAGCCGTTGCCGGTTGTTTGGTTGGCTTGTTTCGGGGAGGCGGAGTTGAGGGTGTTGGGGCTGTAGGCGTTCGGGTTGAGGGGGATGTACATTTGGCCTGAGTGATGAATGGGTTAGTTGGTGGTGATGGGGGAGGTAATGGAGGGGAGAGGGGAATTACCTGCGCCATCGCGGTTGTTGTTGTGGATTGGGACGCGGGGCTGGTTGATGGGCAGCTGTTCGAAGTTGGGGCCGCCGTGGCGGTTCAACTGGGTGTCGAGGTAGGAGAAGAGACGGCCCTGCAGCAGAGGGTCCTCGGTGAAGTCAACTCCGCGGACGATGTGGCCGGGTTGGAACTGGTGCGGTTAGATTGGTTCGTAGCGTAGGTAAGGTCCATTAAGGTTATGCGGGTGGAGAGACAGGGAAGCAAGGAGCGACATACCATGACCTGCTCGGTTTCCGCAAAGTAGTTTAGCGGGTTGCGGTTGAGGGTCATTTTCCCGAGCTTCGTGATAGGCACGTACTCTTCCGGCACGATCTTTGTGGGATCGAAGAGATCGAACCCGAAGCGCAGCTGGTCTTCTTCGTCCATGATTTGCACGCCGAGCTTTGCTTGTTAGTTTTGAGCTCGCTGCAAGGGAATGTGTCACACATACCTCCCACTCCGGGAACCGTCCATACTCGATCGATGTCCAGAGATCCTGACGCATAAAGTCCGAGTTCTTGCCCGAGACCTGCTGCGCCTCTTCCCAGACCATGCTGGCCTTGCCCTGCAGCGACTTCCAGTGGAACTTGACCAGCTTCGACGCGCCGCTGTCCGTCACGAGCCGGTATGTGTGCACGCCGAAGCCGTCCACATGCCGGAAGGAGCGCGGAATACCATGTCCAGCCATCGCCCAGAAAAGAGTATGCAGAGCACTGGGCTGCTGGCTGAAGAAGTCCCAGGCCGAGTCGTGGGCAGTAGCAGCTTGGGGAATCTCGCTGTCACCTCTGGGCTTGACGGCGTGGATCAGATCGGGGAATTGAATGGCATCCTGAATGAAGAACACGGGGATGTTGTTTCCGACGAGATCTGACGGGTCAGTGTTTGGCTGAGAGTAGAGAAAAAAAGGGATAGCTTACCGAAATTACCCTCATCGGTGTAGAAGCGAGTCGCAAAACCGTGCACATCGCGAGCAAGATCGGTACTGCCACGGCTACCAGCGACAGTGGAAAAGCGCACAAACATGGGAGTTTCCTTGCCCTTTTCGGAGAGAAAAGAGGCCGCGGTGAGGTTGGAGAAGTCGCCGTAGGAGACGAAGACACCATGGGCACCGGCGCCACGGGCATGCACGGCGCGTTCGGGAACCTACATTCTTAGTGGTGCAATTGCGTAGTAGACCAACAATAGAACTTACCCGTTCATGATCGAAGCGCTGGATCTTCTGGCGGAAGATAAAGTCCTCTAGCAGAGTGGGACCGCGTTCACCAGCGCTCAAACTGTTCTGGTCCTCAATGGGGCCGCCCACGTCGGAAGTGAGGTAGGTGTTATTGTCATTGAGGTAGTACTGAGAGAGGAATTCCTCAGTGGATTCTGAGGCATCTGAGGAGTCGCGAGCAGAGAGATCACGACTCATGTAAGGGCAGGCGGCATTGGCGAGGCCAATGAGGCCGACGAGACCGATGGAACGCATGGTCGCGTGGAAGGGAAGGGGAGGATTGGACTAGGTCCAGGGAAGATGAGGCAATTGGAGAGGTGAGAGAAGAAGGAAGGGGAGGGGAAGGTGAGGGAAAGAGAGGGGGAGACCGAGGGCGTTATATAGAGTGAATGGGATTGGCATTGGCATTGCATTGGCATTGGCAGTAAGTAGCTACTAACTGAGTAGATACCAACTGACTAGTACGAATGTAGGAGCCGTCTTTTCCAGCATGTTTTGTTAGATACCAGTCGGGTGTGTACCTTACTTGGGATGATATCTTTCGGTAAGGAATCCTGGGATGCGTATTGAGATGCAGACACACGGCCAATGGCGCGTTGCTCATTGGCCGGGGGGTCCATGCCCCGGCCGAGACCCAGGCTTGGCGATGAGGAGGAGGTCGAAGCTGACTGGCGGGAGGGCTTGGTAATCGGGAGGTCTGGATGGAAAGGGACTGGCTTGGCGGGCGATGACGTTGAATTCCACTCGTGTCGTGCCATAAAATACAGTATTATCGTGATGATAATAATAAAATGACAAAATAGCAATGATGTTGCACAAAACCTGAAAAATGGGAAGTGTCGGGATTGTCAATTAGTCTTCCCCACTCATGTAACAATAACAATGATAACAATAACAACAACAACAACACACAACTAATTGGTCTTCCCCTTGCAGGGTGAGAACTTCAATTCAGCTGTGGCCCAAATACTTATTGTACTACCTCAGGCATAAACTTACTAAAGACCAGGGGACTGGTTTCATGCACGAGGAAGATAATTCCACAATGTACATTGGCTAGGACACGTTCATGTTCATGTTCCATATGCAGGACCCTAATCAGCTATTAATAACTAATCCGACGGTTCCTTACAGCACCTCCCCTCACCCCCAGTTACACTACTACTAGTACCACTACTAGTACAACAACTAAATATGATCAGACCATCCAGCCAAGCCCACCCCCGCAGCCGGGGATTCTTGGTCCTGCAACGTGCTGAATTTCCATCACACCGACGCGTCGCCGCCCAGACTCACAACCTACTAGTAGGAAAGAACATCACAAAATTTCTATTTCTGTACAATGCCTAGTCTACACATCCCCCATCTATCTTAGCATATACTATCTAAAAATACTTCGGCCAAACCGGATCCTCCCACGTCCTTCCCCCCTTTATCAACTGACTATCCACCCCATCCGCTCCCGAAGAAACATACAACACCTTAGCCTGGGCCCCCTCATTCCAATATTTATACGTCACTCCCTTAGGCACAAACACCACATCTCCCATCTCCACTCTGGCTGTCTCATACTCCCCAATCTGCACCTGCACGCTACCCTCCAGCACCTCCAACGCGGCCGGGCCCGCCGTCCACGTCGGGGCTGTCGCGTTGCTCGGCTGCCGACTCATGATGATCGTGCTCAGGGTATAGTTTGTATCCTGGGCCTGCGTGGCCGTCACCAATGGCTGCACGATCTGGTACGCCCCGTACTGCGAGTTGAGGTACTTGGGGCCGTAGTTGTTGGCGATGAAGTATGGCTGGCCCGCGGCGCCGAGGGTGTCGGACTCGGTGTGCCAGCCGGAGTCGGAGGGTGCGGAGCCGTTGACGAAGTCGCGGCGGGGAGTGAAGTCGAGTTGTGCGTAGACGTCGTATTGTTGCAGGCCGGAGATGGTGCTGCTGTCGGGGCCGGTGGCGGAGGAGGAAGAAGAGTTGCTGGAGCCAGGTACGTAGGGGGTTTCGGTGCCGGAGGTGTAGTTGGTGCCGAGGGCGTAGAAGAGGTCCCTATTATTGCAAGAGTTGATTAATATGCTGATATGTGAGTAAATAGATGGGGAATTGGCTTACTCGAATCCACCAGGAACAATCACTCCCACCATTTCAGTATCCGGGTCGAGGATCTGGAACGTGTGTGTTGTGTTCCGAGGTACAGAGCCATAGTCTCCCTGGGTGAGGAGACGGCCCCCCTGTTCTCCATCGCCCTTTTGGGCCCAGAGCTGGAAGCGACCCTTGAAATTGAAGAAGTTCTCATAGTGCGTGCGGTGGATGTGAGGGAGGACACCGAGGGAGCCGCTCGAGGGCGCATTGGTGCTCATAAGCGTGAAGGCATAGTCGGAGGATGGGCCGGTGACTGTGAACCGGTACAGTTGGGAGCCGATCGTCACGGCATGGGAGTTCTCATAGTGAGGGAGGATATAGGGGCGAGGGGACGAGGGGGCCTCGGAGACGTAGAGGTCCTCGACGGATAGGGCTGAGGTGAGGGCCAAAAGAGAGGAGAGGACAAGAGAACGCATGGCGATGGAGCCTTCAGATTTAGATTCCGATCAGATCTTGCTGATTCTTCGATAGACATTCTCTGCAGCTACGATTCTACAAACTTATACCCTTCGCGTGGACAATGAAGTCCGATATTCACACCGGAAATCCCGAGATTCTGCAACATGGCCCATCTGGTACGCGAAATGAGCTGCAGACCTCGTCGCAGGGCCCGATTTGCTGGAATTGCAGTTACCTCAGCGACCAGACAAGACAATAGGGTAGACGAACCTCGGGCCCTGTACGGATCCGGTCATGAGTCTCCGGAATGACGAAACGCCGTGTGTGTCGGAAAATCCGAGAGTAGGATAGCGATCAACAGGTCCACTGCAGGAACTATCCAGGCCAAGGGACGCCATTCTTGGCGGGGAGCAGAGTGACTCGTCCTGCCTTGGAATCTTCACGCCGTGGGGTGCAGATTATCTGCAGCCACCTATACCTACCTTAAATCCCCATATACATTAAAAGTATCATCTTCAGGGACATCAAATGCCTACTTACTCTGCACCTCTCGCACAGAAACCACCCAGCAACACTGAAGAAGACAAATGCCCCCAATGTCGATCACCGTCGATCATTCAAGGCCCGAGAGCTCCGATAAACGGCGGGTCGTCAACTCGGCACTTGTCTTTGCGGAAAAACCACCCAGCCAGCGGGGAAATGCCGCATACAGAGTAGTCTACCCAATGTCAACCAGGCATAGTCTGTAGATGATAGCCACACACACTAACCCACTCTAGTAAATCTGGACATCGCTTGTGAGTCCGCCAGGAACACTGAGGGGCAATTAAGCACGTAAATAGCCTAGGGTTGTCTGTGAAGATTGACTAAGCGGAAACAATCGGAAAATAACTAACAAGCCAGACTCCGGAGGGGGACTTGTGGCAGTACACTTGGGTCAGTTATGAGGATTTGCTTGCACCAAGACTTGGTGCGGACAGTGGCCGGGTAAATAGACTGTCAGTGTCTGCTTTGTGTGCTCCGTAGTGTTGGGGGGAGAGAGTGCCAAGGACAGTTTGACGTGAAACGGCCGCCAATTTTCATCCACTTTTCCTTCCTTCTTTCTTTCCACTAACAGGTTACCTCTCGGTAGTGGATAAACCGAGAAACGAAATTTCAGTTGAGCTCAGTACGACATAGCTACTATGAAATATTGCAAATATGTAAAAAGTAAAGGAGAAATTAAAATGAAATGAAGGTGTGTGTTGTAGTGTGGTGCGGGCGGGTGAAGAGTGAAAACCAAAAAAAAAAGCGGGAGAAAAAAGAATTGTCCCTGGGCGGGGTCGAACCGCCGATCTCAGTGATTCCTGTATGATGAAACCATAAGCACTATGCCTTAACCACTTGGCCACAGGGACAACTGTTTTATGTGGGGAATTTCTTAATATGGCTTATACCATACTTCTCGCATATTCCCCGGTGAGGGCGGTTTTTTGTTCATGGTTCCTTGGGTTGATTGTGGGGGGAAGGAAACTGTAAGTTTGGTACTGCGTTGATTTCAATTTGTGGAGTTGGCGTGTCTTATCTATTGGTTTAGCTTGTTGTGTAGCTAGCTATATTTGGGGGATGGGTGTTGTAGGGTGTATAGATTGTGTATTTGACTGACCTGCGACCGAAATACATATTCGCATACCAACCTAGCGAGGTAGGCTATCTATCTATCTACTCTTCAGTTGTTTACTTTTAGAATATAGGGACCTGTGAAAACGACGCCGAAAATGGCTCCCCTCTGCATCCTAACCCAGGCAAACCACTCCTTCTCACCCAGCCTGGTCGAGCGGCTATAAGATGCTTCGTCTGCCCTTTCCCTCGGGGGTCTTTTCAATAAGCTTCTCATCCCACCTCCTCTCCCTCGATCGACCTCGACACGCTTGACTCGCAAGTCTCCTATCACAGAATCCAAGTCTTGGCGCCTGTCTCCCGATTCTTCTCATGGCGCCTGTGTCCGTACCTCCAGGTCAAGGCGATGAGCACTGCTCCATATAGACACAGTCGTCGATGCCATTGTTGATTACACTTGACAGTGGACTAAGTCAGACTATCTTTCTCCCTGGTATATTTTAGGTTCTTCGCGGGCTTGCAAGGTAAGTTATCACCCCTTTTTGAAGGACTATTATTGACATATTACGTAGCGAGGAGCCCCCCATTTGGTTCCAGAATTTGTTTCTCGAGGCGGTGCCAAATCTCTAAAAAGTGGATTCAAAGGGCGCCAGGAGATTGGCCCAACGACAGAAGGACTTAAATAGAGACTAAAGGCTGGGCTGGTAGCCTCTTCTTGCATGTTTATTTTGCTAACCAATATCCCTTCAATATTTCTGACGATGGAAAAAGAAAATGGCAAAGATGATTAACAAAATAAAAACGTTCTCTTGTCCAATATGCACATAAAAACAAGTCCTCTCTTGTCGTCGCGGAATTATTCCCGAGGACTGGTAACTTGGACAATCAATGTTGGGATAATTCCACCTACAACGACAATTCCACTCATGAGTCCGGCCGTACCAGTGAAACCTAGAGCACGAAACATGTATGGAAAATAGAAAGGGCCGACCTAGATGTTCCTGTTAGCGAGGGAATAGGTGTTGAGGTAGAGGAGGACGAACAAAACCATACAGTAGCCTGATAACGTTGAACAACACTCCAATTGAGGCAGAGCCACTGGGCGAAGTATCGATGGCATACGCAGTGAGAATGGTAGATTAAATCTGATTGCCAAAGCTGGCAATGGCAATTCCCACACAGGGGGTCACATTCCAAGAATTCGCCCGCTCAAGTTGAAACCCCCAAACGAGCTGACCAGCAATGATAGTGAGGAAACCAATATAAGTCAACCAGAGGCGGTCGGCCGGACAGACTCGGCCTTTGCGCTTTCGATAGACCTTCATGAAGTAGTCGGACATTGGCCCACCGACCTGCTCTCCAATTACGCATCCAATGATGATGGTATGAACTGGAGACCGGTTTGTTGAGCATCGAGATGGAATTTCTCCCCAAAGTGAGGGGCATCTCGACCACGAAGACGATATTTGCATAGCAGAAGGTGATAGCAGTAGCTAGGGCTGCTACCAAGATCCGAGGGTTCTTGGCTAGGCGGAATGGAGACACAAAATCCGATATTCTGATGGGACGCGCATCAAGTCGTTTGGGCAGCAACCCACGGAAGATCGAGACTTTTTCTTTTGCAGCATCATTCTCAGGTTCCATAACACGAAGCGTCTCTCCGCCAAGGCAGATATAAGCGACCGCTTGCAAGAAATTGATGATGGCAAATATCCAGAATATGAATTCCACTCGAATGTGCTGCACCACGAATCCCATGATAAAGGGACCAGCCGGGGGGTACCGAGGATGGTCATCAAAACCCACCATCCCACCTTCCGGGCATATCCATCCGGAGTAGATAGTTCAGCCACCACTCCACTTCCAATTCCAATCGGTGGAGATATGAAAGCTGCAGTCAAAACACGAGTGATCATTTGGCTAGCGTAACTTTCGCACCGGGCGCCTCCGATATTGCATACCATACTCGCAAGGACCGAAAAGATCAGGATATAGTGGCGGCCATATCTTTCTGTGATGACAATCCAGAAAATTGGTGCTATTCCAAGTAGTACGATCTAAAGACGGATTCTTATCAACAAAACCCGATCCCACTCTGGGAATTATTACGAAACAAGATACTTACTTGAATGGACACCAGATAGCTTGCGTCAGCAAGGGACACGCCATAAGATTCTGCCATTGAAGAAACTGCTGGCACGACTCCTGCTGCCATGAACACAGAGATCATGGAGTGAAAATGAGACCATCAGAATCGTAGCATTCTTCTTCCATTGTGGCCAGTCGACAGCCTGGCGAGAAGTACTAGATTCCATTGACGACGAATGGACTGCTCCTTCCAATTGGACAGGAGGACCCGATTCGCTTAACTCCAGATGCTGGAATTCGTTCTTCTTTGACTGAAGGTCGCCAGAGCCTGTGTCGCTCATGGTTGCGGGGAAGGATTGAAGTTGGTCAAATAGAGATTTCTATTATATTCTAATATAAGATTGAATTGAAGTTTAGAGAGCTTGCTCCTGATAGTTTTGCTGTTGGAAGAACCCAGCCAGCCGACCTCCTTTTCTATCTTTCCATATCTCACATACTTTACTTTCTATTCTAGGGTTTCCTAACACATCCTAATCTAGTTCAATGCGGGGTAATAGTGTCATTCCCCACAGAAATCAGCCAGTTTATAGTTTCGGTTCTCATCCCGGACTGTAATGATCCTTGGTTCCCCGTGTTTCGGGACTAATCTCGTGTATCTGGGATGGCAGGTGTCTGATTGGGGCAGAAGGATCGGGTAGGTTGGGCCTAATTCAAGGTTTGCGCCCCGTTTCCGCGAGGTCAGCTCTTCGCCCAATAAAAGTTAATCATATCCCCAGAAGATCCGAGGAATAAGATGGGATCTATCCCGAAGTGCTTAGACCCCACAACGGCACGCATCCCTCGAGTGTTGTTCACCGCAATTGCATTCTTAATCAATATTGACTGTTACGAATGGAGTACAGTTATAGCGGAATTATGGCGCGTCAAGTTCGGATACGCCGTAAGAAGAGCTATGAGCGTGGAAGGGTGTCTCAAAAAAATTTGGCACATTTGGTCATTCTTGATTTAAATTTCGATATCATCTCCCATCACAAGAGGAGCGAAAAGTTTTACAAAGCTAGGGTACTACTTTTTCACTCAAGAGCCATATTGCTATGGCTTGTTGAAAAGGTTGTTCGCATTTCCAAAGTAGATCTTATCGCGTAGCTCTGGGTCAAGCGGGAAGCCATCTAGAATTTGCTTGAATCCAAGTGATTTGTCGGGGGACGCATAAGGAAAATCAGAGCCTGTGGAATATATTAGCTACTAGTGACAAATAACGAGAAACATGGGAAAAGCCTTACCATAAGTAATATGATCATGCGGAATAACTTCGAGAACTAGCTTGAGAACGGCCTCGGAACTGGAGAGGGCCAAGTCAAAGTAGAATGACCGAAAGTCTTCCATGATCTCTTCGGAGGATTTCCCATAAATGCGGGCGGTTGCAGCGGCTTCCTTCGACACGGCGCAAATGCGCGTAATCAAGAAGGGCAGCGTTCCTCCGGCGTGGGAAAGAATTACTTTGCAGTCTGGATAACTTCTCTTTGTGTTGGTGATAATCATGTCGACAGCAGTTCTCGTGGTCTCATGGGGATAATCAATGGCTGGCTGCGGTAGGAGAGGGTTGACTCGAGTCGTATCAGCGGGATGAGTAGGGTGAATGAAGACCACGGCCTTTCTGAAATTCAGCTCCTCTCAGATAGGCTTGAATTCAGGGCAACCAAGGTATTGGTTCCCTGAGCCATATCTTGTGAATAAAGTCACACCTTCAGCCTTCAACACATCTAGGGCGTATTTGATTTCCACCAGAGCGCCTTCGGTATCGAGAAGGCAAGGCAGATGCGAAAAAGCCCCATCGCTGTGAATCTTCATCACGCTTGGCTGCAGCATACTCGTTCGCCTTGCGGGCCAGTGCTCTTCTCTTCTCGGTCGTTGGGGCGATGACTGCTCCAGGCGCAGTCAGCGACAAGATAGCCTTGGTCACACCAATCTTGTCTGTGAACGCAATGTCGCCCTCGGCTGACCAAGAAGGTGTCGGCCAGCCAGAAGGGTCACCTCCAGCATCCTCGACAGCTGTGGAAATCTATTCAGAATCGTATCCTTGTTGGGAGGGGGTTGTTGTGATATACCTTGAGCATAAAATTCGGGGACGAAGTGGTGATGAGTATCGATGAGGCTCATTGTGAGTTGCAATTCTGTTCACTGCTTGATATTTTTTTTTATCATAGAGAAGAACGCAGATAGGCAGAATATATACCATCGACAGTGCAATAGTACCTGGTGTGAAGTGATCCCCACAATGAATATGCCGGGTTTCCGGTTGCCGACCTACCCGGAGTCAATCGTGGACGCCTGGCTGATTTGCCGCTGTTGTCATTTACAGTTTCGATGACACGTTCAACGATCTAGCCAGTTAACAGATGCGCAACGCATTGACCATCAGGCATAATGGTAAGTAGGTTCGGGATATATCCCGGTGCTCGGACCTCCTTCCCTTCGTTTGGGTCAGTCCTTGTTTCCGCCACTGCAGTACGTGTGTGGAGATCTTGACAGCACAATTTGACCCACAGATCTAAGTGGGCAGGTTTTAAAAGAATACGAAATCTTTAAACCTCTTTGAATTCCATTAGACATTTCTTTCTAATTAATGCGAATTATCTTCATAACGCCCTTCTCTTCCGGTCCATCAGTGACATAGCTAGGGTTATCCGGTATTCTCTCTGAGTTTTAGATCAAATGAACAGATGCCAAGATAACAGAGTGGATGAGATAGGATAGATAAAGGGAAGGACTCCAGGGGCCCCCGTGGTCTAGAGGGAACAACCCCCCCTTAATCTGTTCCTCGACTCCCCTTGACTTCTCCTGCCAACTTGAGGGTGTCTGGAATGATGAATGCCATCTAAAAGCAATTGCATGTTGATGGAGCGGTCTCTGTCACGAGGCAGAAGAGATTGTAGCTTCAGGACGCCTGAACAACAAACTACGGGATCTCGCTCAGGTGTGCCTAACATCGTACCCAACAAACCTTCTGTAACTCACACTGTCTTGGAACTCTACCACTTCCGAGACTTGTTCTCACTCACGGCAGTTCTGCGTGGGCTCTGAAACGGATGCGTCGGGCTTGAACCTGAATTGTCTCTATTTCTTTGATGAGAGTCGAAATTAAGACTTCAATGAGAGGATTGGAAGGGGTTTGGTATGTACTAATCTTGTCAACCAAGTCCAAGCTCCCTTGGGTCCTGGCTTTTGGAGACTGTATATGTTTCAACTGTAAAATTGTTTAGATCTCTTGTATATGATTTATGTTAAATAATTATTAAATATATCTCACATGCTTCGGATCTGCCAATGATAGAATATGTTAAGATAATATATATAGTGTTCATTTCAGTAGAACAGTTAAATAGTATCAGACTGCTGACTATTCTTTATTAACCCAGTTAATAAATCTCAGTAGAGGATAATGATACGCAAGCTAACAAGCTTTTTTAAGGAGAAGATGACCGGCAATGATGCCAGTACATCATATCAAGCGACTAAGCCGAAAGCGGCAAAACGAACTGTAACGGGAAATTCACAGGTCCCAGAATTACTTATCTAACTACAGTACATGTTCAATCCTCCCAATCGTTCAGTCATCGTCTATCAAATCTGACAATTTTCCATCACTATCCAACCTGTCGTTCTCACCACACCCCCAGACAGACAGATTGCTCTTTCCCGCCGACCGTCTCTCAGAGCGCCAGCACTAGAGCCTACTACTTGCATCACTCCCCTGCGACCCTCTCATCCGGCGATAAACAGAATACACATCCTGCACATTATCCTTCCCCCAACTAACCAGAAGTTTATTCCTCTGGACAAAGTCCATAGTATCCAGCATCTTCTCCTCCCTCCGCTCACATTCCGTATCCGAGAGCTCGCCATCAGCACACCGCAGATATACCCTCAACATGTCGAAATGTTTATCCTTGGGGAGATGGAACGTATTATAATTCTGGTTGATTTTTCGGTGGATCGTGATGTCCCATGGATCTCTCCTAAAATACCACCTTCATCAGTATACTGCTACTCACGTCTATGACAAAGAAAGGAAAGGAAAGGGAAAGAATAAACTCACGTATCCAGCGACATACCCTCCGCGACCACCGCATCCCAAACCATCCCCACTGGCATGGCCAAATCCATAACAGCCTGCCGAACAGGAACATCCGGAGCATACGAAAAGATAAAACTCTCGTCATCGACCAACAGAAACGCCTTCGGACTCTCCAGCACAGTCATTCCGCAATCGCCCAGGATCTTCCTATCGAGCTTCGTGTATGCCGAATCCTGCAGCAGGATTTCGATTTCTGTCGGTGTCCATGCCATTTCCTGTAGAATTCGTCGCAGCATGAGCAGGAAGGCATGCTGGTAGGCACTTCGCTCCCTGGTGAACTTGTCAAGCCTGAGGTTGGTTATGCTGTTGCAGCCGAAGGCGATGATCTTGCTGACGGGGCGTTTGATGGTGGGTAGTTTGCGCAGAGTCGCGAGCATGTTCTTGTAGAGAGCGCTGTCTGTCCAGGTGTGGAAGATGGTGTTGAAGCTTTCGTGCGCGGATGCTATTTCTTTCTTGGTGGGGTCGTAGTCGTCATAGTCGTCTTCTTCGTCGTCTTCGTCTTCTCCGTCTAGACGCCGGAATTTGTGGCCTAAGGCGAGATTCGAGTATAGGAGGGAGGGATGGCGCGTTTCAGGACTGGGGGTGATGTAGTCGGTTGGGGCGGGGAAGAGTTCCAGGAAATGTTTCACACTGGAATTATGGTCGATTAGTATCTACAATCAGTAAATGATGATATGGAAGAGAATGATACGTACCCAACCATAGCTACACCCTGCTTATTGCGCTCAATTCTCTCCGTCATCACTTCAAACCCTACATCCGCGCCATCCAATGCAGGAATATACACGATATCCCCCGGCTTACACCTCTCCACTCTAGCCTGCGCCTCCTGGATGGCTTTCTTGGTCCACCGGGGTGTCCCCTCGGGATATAGTTCATTGTACCGCTGCGCCCTGAGGTGTGAATTTAAATCAGAATCCGGCCCGCTAGGTCGTAGAGACGGCTGTAAGCCGATTTCTGAGGCGGAACGGCTTTGAGTGGTATTCGTCGGTAGTGCCACGTCCATGGGGTCGCTGGAGCTTGTGGACGACACGCTATCTTCGGACTCGTCGATGTCCATGGGATCTGGGGTGTACATAGTACTAGGAGTAGTCATTGTTGATTGTATGGACTGTTCACGAAGGGGAAAATTTGAAGCTAGATTTGACGAAGATGGGTGAATGCGAAGGTTGTTGATTCAATTACTGGTATATTCTTGATGACTGGCGACGAGGATGATTCAAGAAGGGATTGCATGTTGGAGTAATTTATACCTGTTTTCGAGAGATGTGGAGAGACAAACAGTAAAGGAGAGTTTCCATGACAATTGATCATATTGCGGCTCTTTCCTGTACATTCACTGTCAGCTGGACTGTAGTTTGGAGAGTCGTAAAGGTTATTGTTGAAACTAGGTTTCCAGGGAGATTCGGGAGGAGAAAGAAAAGAGAGTATGCTGTATATAGATGGTAAATGCCGCATGATGACAATGTAGCTTAGACCTTGGGAGTGAATAGGGAGAAGTATCTTGTTTTGAATTTTGAAGGAATAGTCATGATTTGCTAGCTTCCTGTTTCACATTACTCAATGGCAGATAGTGACATGGGTGGCTTGCATTGCAATATTAACTGTAGGCTACTGTGAATATATCGCCTAGCTGATATGCCGAGGTCTGTATCATCCGCTAGTTAATGGGATGAATGACGGAAAATTATTCCGATGGCCGAAAGTACCCAGAGGAAATAATTTCCGGGATAAACCATGAATAATGTCACACAAAACCAACCATTCAAGATGGATCACAATCGAACAACACATCATACAGGGCTATTTCTGTCCATCACCCCCAATCTGACCAAAGTTATATTGCGGCACTTGAAACAAAAGCAAATGGTATTTTCATTCTTTTCCACCATAGCTATTAGATAGAATGTAAATAGCTCATCGAATATTGAACATCATAGCAGCCTAGTTCAAAGATCGCGAATGGGTCATCGTTATGCTTCTAGCCCATCTCTACTCATTTGATTCCTCTGCATCAGAACTCTGAGAATTCTCTGATCCTTCCGCGCTTTGATCTGCAATCATTTTGCCCAGCCGCCTAAGATCATCAGTTATATCGTCAGGTTGGATGCACAGCTCTAGAAAGGCTAGTTTATCCGACTCGGCATCCACCCTGTCCAGTGCTTGCTTCAAATCCCCTATTGTCTTGATTTTCATGGCAAACATGGGCGGACTGTCCTCTAGCTCCTCATCTTCCTTGCTGGCATAAGGGTTATGCGACGGAGCGTGAGGCTTCGAAGAAAAGGAATTGGCCAATTGGACATAGTCCCAGTTCGCCAAGTAGTTATACGGTCCATCATGCATAGCAGTCTACTTCATTGTCAGCGATGTCCACGACTTGTTCTCATTGACTTACCTCGATCTTATACCCCAGATTGTTGAAAATAAATATGATCGCGTTTGCTCTATGACGAATCATGCTGCTGACTTCTTGTGCTGTCATCTGAAAACCTCCATCGCCAATAAGGATGATGGATCGACCCTGTGTCCAAGCAAGTTGGGAACCAAACCCAGCAGGTAAAGCCCAACTGATAGAGCAATATGGAAATTGTAGCTGGCAGTTGGCTTCATGGGGGAGGAGGATATGATTTGCGATGAGCCATGACTCTCCTGCGTCGCAGAGCAACGTGTCATGCTCCTTTATAAGTCCCTGGATACAGCTGATAGCGCTTTTCAAGGTTAAGGGTGTCTCTGGGGTCTCTGTTTCGCCGGGCGGCAGGCAACCAAGAAGTGGCTTAGGTCGCGGGATGGACTCGGTCTTAGTCTCCATTCCAGACATGATGAGTTGCGCTACCAGTGCGCCGATTTTCGCGGGCTTGATGTGCTTTCCCTCGGGCAGCTCGACCCAATCTTTGTCCACGCTAATTATGCGATAATGTTCTTGCTTATTGCTACTCATTAAAACATGAAAGTCGGACCAATTTCCACCGATGACTAACCAAAGGTCTGAGCTCATAACGATTTGCTCACCTTCTGGGTTTACCATTCCAGCCCAGAACTGGCCGCAGTA